TGTGCAGTAGGATACCGACTAAGGGCCACATTAACAGCCTCACTAAGGTGATCAAATAATTGTTTTATCTCCTGGTCACCGCTGTGCGATCGATAGACACAGGCATAAAGGATTTTTTCAATAACTGTTTCTACCATTATCCAGATTGTCTAAAAAGTGGGGTCTTCAACGGGACGGAGACGTTGGAGGCAGATGTCATTACGAACGTGCACACAGACACCGGCACGTAGATGGAGTTGTTGCTCCAGGATAGTCAAGGTACGCCGCATTCAATGGACATCCAATTTGGGTCTCCGTCAAGGAAAGTAGGTTCGGCTTCTCAGTCTCAAGATGGTAATGGACTGCGCTGAGATTAGAGTGCAATCCTCGAATATTAGGGAGGTGCAATTTTGATGAGAGGACATGCAACCGCTGTTTAGCCATACTTTTCTTTTTTGACACATATTACAGAGTTAAGAATGAATATGGATGGAGAACAGTAGTTGAACGAGGCGTTGCATTAGCAACCGAACAATACTAGCAGAGCTACTGCGCCCATGAGAACTTGATCTGGAGACTGCGGGGACGCCTGAACCACCCCAGAAATCACCATTGGTTCCTCTCGTCCGATCACTAACCGGCACGATGAAGCCACCCTTGGATTTTTCGCTAGTTGTCGGGGCAGCCTTTCATGAGTAGCTAATTCACTAATTGTGCCCCCAACTATCTGCGGTTGGCCAGCGGAACACCATACTTCGGATCCCACAACCCTTCATAATCAAACACCCGACACAGCAACAACTAAAGTTTGGCACCCGGTTCACACATACATCGCTACTGTTCAGACCCATTCTCTATATGGCGTCACCAAGCATCATCCCGTAACACGACAAAATCATTTGGCAACAAGACTTTGCGTTGATAGGTGGTAATGAAAAAGCCAGCGGCCGAAATCTACCACCGATATTGGTGCTGCTCGTTTAGCACTACCCGGGGGACACGTGCAGGCAGTCAGGTTTCAAGTATTTTCTACGAACGCAGACAGCCTCGTCCCCTATATCTATGTAGTCTATGGCTCCGCCGCCAACCAATATACGGCTGTGAAAGATATGACGAGTGGCGCATCGTCATACCAACACTACTCTTTCGCCGCGATTCCACCTCAGCTTGAGCAATAGGGGTAGAGGACACCCCTCCCGCCACAGCTCTCACTGGCGCAATGGGCTCACCAAGCTCGCATGGAGTGGCCACCTCGGGCCAGCCATGTGGGTTCCTCTTTGTTCACCGCGGGTGACCAAGCCACGGCTTCTAAGCACCACGCCACGACAAGGTGGGTATCCTAGGTTCATATTCGAAAATGGATCTTTAGGCAAACCTAGAATTACCTAACCTTTTTGTCAAACATCGTAAGCAATATAATCTGTTTTGGACTTTGACCAATTCATCCTAGATCTTAGAAGCAAATAAGGCGATTCTAAAATTAAGCTTTGAAAGCGAAGTTCATGCAGAAAATTACTAATTTGAATAAGGAAAAGTGTATAACAATGAACAAACTTTTTGTTAGGAACCAGATACAAGAATGTAAAGAGAAATTGTGCCATTTTTCAGCAGTCTCTAAGGAAATTAGTGTAAAATATTTTAATTTTGGGAGCCAAGGTTTTATAAAATGCCACTGTATTAAAAAGAAAAAGAAAAGAAGTATGTTTTTATACCTAAGTCTAACAAACTATGACATTCCTGTATCGAATTTAGATCTGACTGGTCAAACCTCGATTTGATCGTATTGAATTTCGGTGTTTAATTGTCCAAATTATTTCCTCTGAGGGTTAGACATAAATTCGTTTGTCGAAGTATTGTTTTGAACTTTGACTAAGACTTATCGTCAGATCTGAGGTTTTACTAGCCAAACCTAGGAGCACCGGAGCTTCGATATTTGACTGTAACATAATATAAGAAACATGAATTAATGCAAAATTTTTCAAATATTGCTTCAGTGTAACATAAAAAGCTTAAAAATAGATTATTATCTATCAAACTCAAACTCAAACATTTCTTTATGTTCATATGGTTATATAAATAGTTGTTATGTTGGATATAATAGAGCCAAACATGAGCCTTGATAGGGCAAGGGCGTAGCAATATTATACATATATATCAATTTAATGTAATTAATTTAGGAAAATGAATTACATATTTTATTTACTTTAAATAAAAGTTACTTTTATATTTAATAAACATTAGCAATATTTACAATGTTATTAAAGAGGTGTACATATTCAATTAAACAATTATTATTTTTCACCGAAAAACTGACAACGAATAGAAGAAACTTTTTTCAATGAAATATTTTTAAGCTTTCTTTAAAATTTATTTAATGATTCTTCTTTTTATAGACATTTGGGGATTTTATTATTGTTTCGGCAAAATCGTAAATAACTTGAAACTTGCGAGAACGCTCGTCTCGGACGAGGAACCGGTTTGACGGTCTGAGCCAGCGGGCGGCGGCCGAGCCATTTAGTATAGTATATTCGTTTGTACGCGACGGCCGTGTCGATTAGAGATCGGGGGTTACGTAAGAATCGTTACGTCGCATTACGACGGCCTCCTTTGTGTTGTCTTATTACGTTAATATACGTGACAACGAGGTTTTCCTTGAGTTTTGAGTGATTGACTTAATTTCGATTGACATTAATTTGCGTCGACGAGTGTCTTGTATAGTACTTTAATATAGTACGAAGAAATTTTTGCTTTGTCGGGTTGAACGCTAAACTTTGTGATCCGGGTGGAGATTGCGTTCGATTATAGTTTGTGCTAAGTGACGTTAGACTTGAGTTCCGATAGCGGGGAACACCCACTGGAGTCATTGCGCCTTGTGGAGCGGGGCAACACATGCGTTGCCCCGCTCCGTTCTGCTGAACGATTACATCGTTGACGTCAGGTTACATTACACACCTTCCTACACCACTCACACCTAACATTTACTTGCCCCTGATGGCACCTTGTGGTCGACCCTACCTCCGGAACTCGGTAAGTTTGTGTTTGCGTATCCAGCCATTATAATTTAATTATCCATAGGCCATTTGGGCCCGCACCCTCGGTTGCTCGTCGAGTTGGGTTACTAAAGGGCCCTAGCCCGGTCGACTTTTGTCGGGGTAACTGAGGGCCGTAACAATTATAAATTTTTACACTGCTCTGATTTGACTGTTTGCAATTTTGTAATAGGTTGAGCCAGGAGCATATTGAAAAAAGTGCATATCCTATACCTTTAAACGAGCAATTCTTATATATATAAGCGGAATCTCAGAAATGGCTCCAATGATTTTCATAAAATTTTGTGTCCAGGGAGTTTCGGGGGCAATAAATCGATCTAGCTAGGATTTATTTTTAGAAAATGTCTTTTTGTCCGTGTTTTCAGGCAATGAAAAACTGCTACAATATAAGAAGGACACTGAGTTTAATGATCGTAATAGCTCAAGTGGACATCGAGTGGTCGCGAAATCGTAATGCCTTGGTTCGCGTCCTGTTTTCGGTCCGATTTTTTTTCCTTTTTTTCAAGTTCCCTTCTTTTGTGAGAAAATCTATTATTTCGGGCCGTTTTTTTAGTATTTTTTAAAAATACTAAAAATTGCACTCATGATTTTTTACTGAAATAATCAGTTCAGATTTTTCTATTATGTCAATAAGATCAAAGAATATTATTCATCTGAACAAAAAACCGAGCGAAGTTCGGTCATCCGGGTACTTTATATTTTATATATGTATGTTGTGTATGTATAAGTGTTAATATTTTTAAGGAAATGAAGTAGGGTTTACAGCTGTCAGTGTTATCTATGTTTGTAATTATGCGGATATATTTTTTTGTGGAATAAATAATTTATTAGCGTCTGTGCTGTTTACCCATAGTATAACGCCGTACTTGAGTCATACATGGGCATAAGCATAGTATGCACACGTGGCCATTATTGAATCTGTAACTTTTTTAAGTTCGTATAGTGCATACAAGAAACGGGAAAGTTTAGATGATACTTTCTTTTTGTATTCTTTCCAATTTATACCTGAATCTATCTTTATACCTAATAATGTATATGAATCAACACATTCTAATTTAGTATCTTTTTAAGAATAATTTAATGATTATTATAGAGTATTTTTGATACGCCTTAAATTGTATTATCTTAGTTTTTGTGTAATTTATTATGAGATTGTGATTTTTTAACCATTTAGAGATTTCTGCTAGTACCACTATCTCGACAGTTGTTAAGATTGTTTTATTATTTTTATAAAATGCGATGCCTACAGAAAGATCATCGGCGGACAAGGTACAAGGGGCTTTGCTTATTTGCGGCAAATTATTAATATAAATTAAAAATAATAAACAACCGAGAACACTACCCTGTGGTACTGATTGAGTGACCGGTGCAAATTTAGATCTGACTTTAATCATGTTTCCACTGGCTAGGTCATGCTGTTCTATATCTACATACACTGCTTTCGATTGTTTAAGTATGACTCGCGAACCAGTTGTATATTGGGTCTCTTACTCCGATTCCGTGTAACTTCCTTAAAAGTATGTCAAATCGAACTCGATTATAGGCTTTGTCCAGTAAATATACCGATCGCATATTTCTTTTTCTTAAATAGATTTAGTATTTTATTGACATATTTGTATACTGCTGTGGTTGTTGATCTGTTTTTACGAAAGCCATATTGACTGACATTTAATATATTGAACTTTTCGCAGTAACAGTACAGTCGATTAGCCCTTAATTGATCTGTTAGGTCCCAGGGACTCCACGCGATTTTCAAAGTGTTGTGATTTCTTTGTTTTGGCACTCAAAGGCTTGTGCGTCACAGTACCTTCATACAGTAGCGTGCGACGCGCAAGGGAGAGAGGACGTGCGTCTGCGCTTCATCCATCGGTGAGTTTTTAAGCTAGTAGAGTCCGCCGGACTCCACCAGGGCATTTGTGTAACTTTTTTTTTAATATCACTTATTATTATTTTTGTTTTTTTTTGTTTTAGACTGGAAAATGGCTTCGAATAGACAAGTAGTTAGCGTAGATCAACCAAATGCTGAATCTATTCTACTCGACTGGCTAAATGACGAAGATTGTACCGACGATGAATCTCAATCACTTGAACCATCTCGAGCTGTGATACCTGAAGAACTATTATCCGACTCTGAAGATGACTGTATACCTTCTGATCACGACTCGGACTCAGAGTGTTCAGTTAACTAAGATGATGAAGATGTGTTGACCTCAGGTGAGAGCGCTAAATATTATTACAGAAAAAACCGATTCAAATGGTCAAGCGAACCCCCGTCAAGAAACATCCGCACACAGTCTCACAATATTCTTCGTTTACCTTCAAACCAAAATGATTTAGTTACAGAGAATGGTCCGATTTCTCCTTTGGATGCATTTCAGCTTATTTTTGATAATCAAATGATAGAAACGATTTTAGAGTAGACTAATAAAAAATTGGAAATAGTTCGTGAGACCATTTCACCAAAGGAGCAATACGCTTTCAAGGAGACGAGCCAAATAGAACTGAAAGGTTTTCTCTCTTTGCTATTATATAGTGCAGCATTTAAGTCCAATCATGAAAGTGTATTGTCTTTGTTTGCAACTGACGGAACAGGGAGACCTATATTTCGGGTTTCTATGTCTAAAAAACGTTTCCTTATACTACTTCTAGTTCTTTTTTTTTTTTTTCAGTTTTTTATTTGACAATTTCACTGATAGAGAAGCTCGAAAGATAATCGATCCAGGCTGTGCTGTTACTGAGTTTCTTGAAATGTTCAATAAAAACTCACAAGCAAGGTATGTCCCAGGTGCTAATGTTACTGTTGACGAGATGCTGCTGGCTTTTCGTGGAAAGTGTAGGTTTAAAATGTATATCCCCAGTAAGCCAGCCAAATATGGAGTGAAGGTACAATGTCTAGCTGATTCTGCAACATTCTACGTATATAACACTTACATATATACAGGAAAAGGATCTGACTCTTACACATTATCAGAAGAAGATAAGAAAAAGCCTGTTCCAACTCAAGAAGTACTTAGGCTGTGTAAGCCAATATTTAACACCAACAGAAATATAACAACAGACAATTGGTATTCGTCAATAGAACTTTCACAAGAACTTAAAAATAAAGGATTGACTACAGTAGGTACTTTGAAAAAAAACAAAGCTGTCATTCCAAAAAAGTTTTTACCTGCGAAGAACAAAGAGCTGAATAGTTCACTGTTTGGATTTACGAAAGATTGCACTTTAGTCAGTTTTGTGCCTAAAAAAAACAAAGCAGTAATATTGTACTCTACGATGCATCACGATTCTAAAATTAATCCAGAAACTCTAAAGCCTGAAATTATTGAATATTATAATGACACAAAAAGTGGCGTAGATTCGGTGGACCAAAAATGCTCTGTATATTCATGCAGTCGACGTACGCGACGTTGGCCAATGGCAGTTTTTTTCCGCATATTGGACATGAGTGCGTGGAACAGCTATGTTATTCACAAAAGCCAAGCAGGTATCAGCAAAATGACACGTCTAAATTACATAAAAGGATTGGAAAAAAAAAAAATAATTATCACAAACGAACCTTCTCGACCTCCGCGGGTTTTATTATACCCAAGACCCTTGAAACATTCCACACAAAAAACAACTACTTTTCCACCCGGAAAAAACTCTTTTTTTTCCTCTGTGATAAGTTTTGTGTACGAAGAAATTGCCCTTATTGTGTTGCGACAGCATTAAGTGTTGCACGTTTTTTATTTTTATATGAAACAGTATTCTTTTTTAGTCTATTTTAATAAGTTCATTAGATTGTTTAAGTATTTTCTAAGTAAAAAAATTAATATTCCTTATATTCAAATTGTTATAGCAGTTGAAGCAAATTTTTGTTAATTTAATTTCAAGGGTAGTTTATTTTTCGAATGCTAAAATGTTCAAATGATGATTAATACCAAAGTTTTATATAAAAGTAAGAGAAGGTAATGTTTTTTAGTTAAATAAATGATTTTGAACATAAAATGTCGTTTCACTTTAAATTTATCAACAATTTCTTGAATTGAAGTCCCTCGGACTCCACCAGATAAATTAAAGTATATTTAGGCACCAGGTTAACTGAGGGTTAGAGATAGCGTATTCAAGTATTTTTAAAAAACGTTGGAAGAATAGTAATAGGGCGATAGTTATTACAGTCAGCTTTAGAGCCTTTTTATGGAGTGGTTTAATTAATAAAATTTTTAGTTGGTCTGGAACTTTACTTTCTGTAAACGATTGATTTATAAAGAATGTAATAACTGGGGCTAGTTGTTCAGCGTATTTTCTAATTAAACAAGGTGGTAAGTCATCATGACCGAAGCTACGCTTGTTTTTAAAATTACGTATAAATTACATAATTTTTTGACTGGTTGCGAGTTGTAAAAAGAATGAATTTTTTACTGGATTATGAACAGGCTGACCAGCTGAAAATTTTGTGCCAAGTGGCATTATCATTATCAACCGATAAAAAGAAATTATTGAAACAAGCAACTATTTGAACAGGGTCCACAGTGATACTATTTTGGACATTTAGTTTAAGTATACCTAATGTAATTGTTTTTTTTTTGGTGATGAATTAACGGAGCGACATATTCATATTGTGAATAAGCTCATTAATAAAGAATTAAAAAAATCTATGTTCTTATTATTTTGTTTCTTTACAACTTTCCTTCTTAATAATATGGTTCTTATTTGAAATATTTACAGTTATTTTAAACATTTTTGAGTAATTTTTGTAATACGTGTTTAATACTGGATTTTTTATTTGAGATAATAATTTTTTTAAGTGGCTTTTATTTTAATACGATATTTTTATTCCATTTGTATGCCATAACTTTTTCTTTATGCTTCTAATTTTTATGCGAATTTTTGGTATAATTTCATTTAATATGTGATTAATTTTATTACAAAATGATCAATGGTAATTATTTTGCCAAAGTCTAATTCTTTTAATTTAGATTTGTAATGTTGGATTTTTTCACTATAGAATCTTTTTTCTAAAATCCACGTATTACGTAGTTTTATTCTGCGTACGACCTCTCTGCGGAATAGTTTACCACCGGCAATTTTTCCGGACCGATACGACCTAGGGACCTTCAAGAAAAGAGCTTACTCCTTTTTAAAGGGCTGGCAACGCACCTGCGATTCCCCTGATGTTGTACGAGTATGTTTCGTTCTTTTATAGGTATATTTGCTATAACTCCGTTGTGGTCAGAGAGACTCAACTAGAACATTAATTACGACTTGCTCGACTTTATAATTTGTGAACGTTAAATCTAAGCATGAAGCTGTAGTCCCTGTTCCCCTAGTTGGTTCTTGAACATGTTAATAGAAATTATGACTACGCATCAAATCTAAAAGTCTTGGAGTTCATGTACTTTGTTGTAACACATCTACGTTAAAATCTCCACCTATTATAATGTTCTTTTTGGAATGTTTTTGCTGTATTCATTGTAAGAGCTTTTCTAAAACACTGTAAAAAGTATCAGGCATTCTGTTGCTATTTGGCCAGTATACATTTATTACTAATAAATTTGAAACTGATATTTCTATGCCACATATTTCAATTATAGGTTCTATAGACATAGCGTTTAAATCGTTTTGTTCAATATAATCTATTTTATCTTTCACTAATATACACACACCTTAGAAATTAGTTTATTAAATAAGAATTACATCGTCTGAAATAGGATGCTAGGATATGATTATCTGAGCTGATCCAGGTTTCAGATAGCGTGTACATTTTTATCTTCATCTGTACAAGCTTCCAAAAAATGCCGTTTGTTATTAAAACTTTGTATGTTTTGGTAAATAATCCTTATTTTATTATTGAAAAAAAAAATTTTTTTGGAGGTGGCGAGGCACGTGCTGGTTCATTTTGATCATTCTGAAATTCTGTCATGGATTCCAATGTTTTATTATAACCATAATCTTCAATTTCACACATAAGTGCATCAAGGTCTTTGAAAATGATTTGCATTCCATAGTTATTTACGATACCTGTGTGTTTTTTAAAAATCGCATAATCATGTACTATATGCAGCTTGGAATCAATTAGGTATGCATTCTCATGTGTCATTACATCCAGATGTAATAAATTATTAAAAACTTCTACTCGCTAGTTAAATAAGTTTCGGAATCTATAGTATCTAAAGGTAAGTAGACACAAGATGGTGTTTGTATGTGCAATTTCTGATAACGTTTGTCGAATATATGTTATTAATTCAAAATAATTTATAGTGGACTTGAAATCTTGATCACCTATTAGTAGTTTGGAGTAGTCTTCCATTGTATAATAAATAAGTTTGGTCTTTAGTCCCATCATAAGAGGTCTTATTCCGTATTCAGTTATAATGGCAAATATCAAAAACTCCATGCAAACATCGTTGAGCGATGGATCTTGTTTTGGTAAAGTTGTTAGTAGTAAGCATACATACCTTCTTCTTGTTCTCCTGAGTTATTATAAAGTTATTGAGATGTTATTTGATGAAATACTGTTAATATTCTTTTGCCGCTTGCTTTCTTTTATCTCACTGGGGTTGTGACACAATATTACATTTGTTATCGTAGATAGGGCAGTTATTTTGGGAGTACCAAATAAAATTGTGGTGGACCTTTGGTGGCTAGTGTATCTTAGGGGCTTTTGAGGGAGAAAAATGAAGTAATTGTTCACATCCGTTGTAGTTGATTTATTTTCTACATCAGAGACGCGTGTTCACATGATACACTCGGAAAGGAACTGCACACTAGACTGCTCGCTAGCCGACTTACAGACTGTCGTCCCGCCGGCGGCAGTCGTTATCATATTTCAGGAGAATTACATAAAGATTGACACAGGCGACGCATGTGTGTGCGTCCCCCACAATCACTGAACTCTACATATACAAGTACGCTGGACAGGCTATACACCGTGACATGATGAAGCGATTTGATTTCCGCCATTTTGGCGCTGACAGCAGAAGTGCACATCCACGGAACTAATAATAGGGATAAGACAGTGTACCAAATTATATCGATAAAAATTCTATACCCTACCATACCTAAATAAATAGAATGGACTCTATGGATAGATGGACTCTACCCGTAACGTCCATTCTATTTATGTATCATATTAATATAATGCCATTATCATCCATCATCATTAAAACCCTTCACAAGTCTACTGCTGAACATAGACATCTCCCAAGGA